GCACTGTGCATGGAGCCCACTCGAGATTCTCTTCCTCTCCCTCTCCCTCTGCTCCTCTCCCCTGCTTGTGTATCCTCTGAATGAACGAACGAAAGAAAGAAAGAAAGAAAGAAAGAAAGAAAGAAAGAAAGAAAGAAAGAATTAAAGTTAAAATTAAAATTAAAAAAAAAAAACAAAACACTGAGTTGAGATCAAGAGTCAGTTGCCTAACCAACTGAGCCATCCAGGTGCCCCCAAGAATTCACATTTCTAACAAGCTGCTATGCTTTGAGAACCACTGCTTCGTAAATTATTATTATTTTTAGTCATCGAATAAGAAATATCCTACCAATATCCTACAAAGGGTCAAATTTTGTATAAAAAGAAAGAAAGAAAGAATTAAAGTTAAAATTAAAATTAAAAAAAAAAAACAAAACACTGAGTTGAGATCAAGAGTCAGTTGCCTAACCAACTGAGCCATCCAGGTGCCCCCAAGAATTCACATTTCTAACAAGCTGCTATGCTTTGAGAACCACTGCTTCGTAAATTATTATTATTTTTAGTCATCGAATAAGAAATATCCTACCAATATCCTACAAAGGGTCAAATTTTGTATAAAATGAATGAATGAATTGCTCACCTTAATGACAAAAGGCTCACACAGTTGGTTTAGTCACCAAATATTTGTCAAATTTTGATGCTAAATATTCTTGAGCAACAACTGCAACGGGGAAATTGGATGTTTTTCTTGTACATCATGTCACTGCAATAAAAATCAAATTTTAAAATGGAAGCGAGAGATTTCCTTGCTCACAGAGACTGTAAGATCTTTTCTCCTGTGTCAGAACCTTGTACTATTTCCCTAGAGTATGCTGAAATCTGATCTGTTATGTTCAGAGGCAACCAGGGGTGGTTAGCATGAATCTTGAGGAAACTAGGCATCTTCTGCTGTCTCAGTTGAGGCTATCATAGTATCTTCAAAAAGAGTAAGAGGACACAGTTGCTTCTGCTAACAACAATGGCCCAGAATGACTCAGTGGCTCAAGATTATCAACTTCATCTGAGTTTCCTCCTTCTAAGTCTCAGGATCCACAATTAGCCTCCAAACTTGCATATTACATACTTGATGAGGCTTCAAATTAAACTTTTGTTGTTATTATGTAACATGCATATTTGAGTTGTGTGTTTTATTTTCAGTGAGGTCAGCCCTGCAGGTACTAGAAAAAAAAAAAAAAGACATTCTTTTAGGGCCACTATGGAGACTCTTTGGTTTCCTGACCATTATTGAGCTGAGAGTTTAAAGCCTTGAGCTTGTTAATCTTCTTTTTTAACTATTCTGGTGCACTCAAATGGGGCCACCCTAATCCCACAGTCCTCATAGTCCATCGTTGCTACCACCATGGTTAAATGTAGCAGCCGCTTGGTTCTTCCTAGGTCACTTCCTTCACCAGGCACTTCCTCACAACCTACCACAAGTGATGCTTTGATTAGTTTTGATATTACTGCATGCCATAGGTTACTAATATCCATTCTTCATTGACAAGGAGATCAACACTATATTTGAGGCCAAGAATGTGACCAAACCAACTCCACCATCCCATTTCTGTATGTCTGTTAATAATATGTATCCGTCAGGATCCAGTTAGGGGAACAGAAACCTTACCAGCTATTTTAATAGAAAGGATTTAATATAGTAAATTAAGCAGGTATTGGAGGATTGAAAAAGCAAAAAGTGAGTGCTGAGGTAACTCAGAGATAGTAGCAGGTTGGGAAGCAAAAGGAAGAGGCTGGAATTATATCACAATGTAGAAGCTGGGAGAAGAGACTCCATGGAATTGGGACCCAGCTTTCTGAATAGAAAATGCCACTTGGCTAGTGCTAGCATCTGAGGATCTTGGGCTAAGAACCTCTGGAGAGGTTTACATGTGTGCTGATATCCTGGGTGGTGAGCACATGGAGAATGGAGGGAGAGAGCATGGAAACTCTCTGCCCTTTCCCCATACTATCAGCCTGTTCCTGTATTCTATCCTTTCATAATAAACTGGTGATCTAGTAAACACAACCAACAACCAAACACCTCTGGAGAGGAAGCACTGTGGGGCTGGAGCTGGTCATTTTTAAAAAATCAACATCCATTGTATTAGTTTCAGAGATACCACATAGTTACCATCCATCACCATGCACAGTCACAGAATTTTTCTTGTGATGAGAATTTTTAAAATGCACTTTCTTGGCAACTTGCAAATATACAATACGATGCTGGTATTTTTGAAGGGACACCATGAGGCTGGTGTAGGTGTGTCGCAGCAGCGGCTGGCGGGGGGGTGGGGAAAGGAGGAATGCCTGGAAATTGGAACCGTCACTACCAGAATGATGAAATCTACCACAGTAACAGCAAACAAAATAGGAAATAATAATGTCTTTCTCTTGCAGCCTCCCTCCAGTGCCCCCTACTGGCAGAGCCTAATATGGAGCCACCTGACAAAGGAAAAATCTCTTTGGTAGAGTCTCCACTAAAGCAGAGTACCTAAGGATGGTTAATTATCAGCATAGGCTTCTTTTCATTTCTTTTCTCATACTAAAATAATTGTATTGTTTTAAATGTCTCTTTCCATGCTGAAATACATGAATGGTTGAAATAACATGCAATCTACTCAAATGTAAATGTAATACACTATGTAATTCCAGAAGTTATCTACATATGGAAATAATGTTTATATAAGAATTATATTAAACAGGTCATTAGTTAAATAAGATCTAAACTAAGAAGAGAGAAATCCAAACGACTTTAGAGGGAAAAGCAGAGTCATCAGATGTTATTTTGTGGTCGTGAGTGTCCAGGGTCCAACTGCCATAAAGCTACCATCATCAAACCTGCAAGTAACCCCAGGCCCTGGAGCTCAGCATCGGTTTCTTGATTGACTATAACCTGGCTGTTAAAAGGATGAAATGATACCATGTATATTAAACATCCAGAATCATGCCTGGTCCATAATATGTGTTCAGTAAACCTTAACACTTTCTTTTCTGATATAAGCACATGGGTTTCCTCCCCGCCCCCCCTTCATTCTGTTTATGTGATGTATTACATTGATTGGTTTTTGAATGTTGAACTATCCTTGCATTCCAAGAACAAACCCCACGTGGTTGTCATAGCATATAATCATTTTAATGTGCAGTTGAATTCGGTTTGTTAGGGTTTTTTGTTTGTTTGTTTGTTTGTTTTAATTGCTACTTACCATATACAGAGAGTTTGAGCTTTTGGACTGAGAAGCTAAATCAAGGTGACCTTGAAAGTTTAACAAGAGAACTTCCTGCACTGTCTGCTCTGAAAGTCATTCCAGCTTTGCTCTCATGAGGTATTTTCATAGAGGTGAGCTCTCTGCTCTGCTCTTTAAGTCTTCCCAGTTACTCTCGTAGCTGCAAGTCATAGCTACAGACAAATGAGAAACATCAAGTGAGTGATTTAGAGGAAGAATTTTGAGAGCCTAGCTTTTTCTAAATGCCAGGGACAGTTTCAGCTGTTAACTCAGGGCTTAAGAGCATGAAAAGAATGTCAGGCTAGCTGATCAGAATTTTTATGATTAGAGAGAAAAGCTGGCTTCTCTGGGTCTTTGATCTAGCTCAGTGGGAAAGGCGGCAGAGCGCTTCAAATGCACCACCACCTGATCCTGGCTGCTCAAGGACACATCTGGGAAGATACCTGAGGGGGGTCAGCTGCTTGCTTTTCCATCTGGAAATGAAGTTAGAGATTACAGGCCTTGTCCTGTAGCAGAGGGGAGGCGTTTTTGGTGGGGAACAGTCCCCTGGTCTTTCAGGAGCACTTGGGATTAACTCCAGAAGGTTAACAAAGATTCCGGTGATAAAAGCCACTTGGGGCATTTACAGTTCCTTGGAAATTTTGATTCTGTTGGTCTGAGTTAGGAACTTGGATTTTGCCTTTAAAGAAAGTGGCCCTGGTGATTTTTATCATCAGGGAAGTTTGGAAGCCGCGTCTAGGGCAAGAGGGCAATTCTGTTCTTGGACCTCTGCTCATTAGTGGGGAAGGGAGCTAATATAATATTTAACCACTTAAGAGAGACATCTGTTTGGATTAGGCCTGTCCAGGAAAGGAAGGGGATTACAGTTACTATTCAGCAGAGGAGCAAATTCATGGAATGGAGCCGCTTTCAAGTTCTATAATTATGAATGACCGATAATGTCACTGAATACCAAGCTTTCTTCTCTGAAGTAGCTTGAGTTTGGTTGCAAACATAGCAGGGTTAAAAAACACTGAGTGTGGAGAATGCTTGAGGCACTCTCTTTCCTTCTGTCCCTCCCCTCCAAAAATTTAATTAAAAAAATAAAATAAAATGTTCCCTTAAAAAAAAAAAAGGCATTGTTGACTTCACCTTGGAGACCAGGGACTGTGCTGCCACCATGGAGGGAAGGTCTGCAGCAGGTGTCCTAGATGCCGGATCATAACTGATGCTCATTCAACTTTGGCCATTGACGTGGTGCATGGGAAGGCTTCCTGGGGTGGGGGGGTCCTTCCTCACCCCAGCTGGAACTGTCCCCCAACGCTGAAACCAAAAGGCACACGGGCCGGTCATAAGACAGCAGCACCTAAGAGCTCGGTGAGGGTTGTGGGTGATTAAGGGTCATCACAAGTCGAGCCCCCTGACATGGGAAGGATGACACAGTCAAGAAATGGGTGTCTGTGCCCTTCCAGTGAGCTGACCCAACAGGAAAAGCGGGTTATGTGTCCGACTACGTGATGGGGACAACAAGGGCCCTGCCCTCTGCCATTTCTACGATCCTGGTTTTGGCAGGATGCAAACAAAGCCCAGGAGCAGTGCCTTTTACATCTAGAAAAGCACCTCATGGCACAAAAGGACAGGCTCAAACACTTTTTGAATGAATGGATGTGAATGAGAAAGAATTTGTCATTGAATTGTAAGACAGAGGCCCCCAATCATGGACATTGTATAAGAAAACTTCAAGCTTCATTTCTCAGACCTTTATTCTTCTAAACAAAGTTCAGGACTCTGCCTGTTATACTCTGTTAACCACAGAGGCCCAAAGTTCTTCCATAACTAATCGGAGCCTGTGACTGCCTTGCGCGGCTCTGAGGAGCCGTCACAATCCCTTTCCTCTCTTGGAAGCGGGGTGATTGCATGTGAACCATGGAGCAGGGCAGCAGCCGCTCGGAGGACTTCCCTCTCAATGTGTTTTCGGTCACTCCTTACACACCCAGTACCGCTGACATCCAGGTGTCCGATGATGACAAGGCAGGGGCCACCTTGCTCTTCTCAGGCATCTTCCTGGGACTAGTGGGGATCACGTTCACCATCATGGGCTGGATCAAATACCAAGGTGTCTCTCACTTTGAATGGACCCAGCTCCTTGGGCCCATCCTGCTGTCAGTCGGGGTGACATTCATCCTGATTGCTGTGTGCAAGTTCAAAATGCTCTCCTGCCAGGTGTGCAAAGAAAGTGAGGAAAGGGTCCTGGATTCGGAGCAGACGGCGGGAGGACAGTCGTTTGTTTTCACTGGTATCAACCAGCCCATCACCTTCCATGGGGCCACTGTGGTGCAATATATCCCTCCTCCCTATGGCTCTCAAGAGCCCCTTGGGATCAACACCACCTACCTGCAGCCAGTGGTGAACCCCTGTGGTCTCATACCACCTGGAGGGGTGGTGATGGCCACTCCAAGTCCTCCTCAGTACTACACCATCTACCCTCCAGAGAATGCCGTGTTTGTTGGTGAGCAAGACTACCCTTCGATTGTGGCTGGTGGAAATGACAGGTATGTTGTGTGTAGTGGGGACGCTCCCCTTGTGGCTGTCACAGTCACAGCCCACGGGCATTGTCTGGTCTGTAAGGAAGGTGTTGGGAGAATGCAAATGTCTGTGTGGCCTGTTACCAGGATGGCGGTGTCGGCTCTGAGAGAGGCGCTGTGGGCTGTAACGGGTCTGTGTTTTCTGCTCCCACGCCAGGTTCAGCCCTGATGCTGACCAGCTGGGAGAGACACAGCCGGCAGAAGAGGACTCCGCCTGCTTCTCTCCTCCTCCCTATGAGGAAATATACTCCCTCCCTCGCTAGACCCTGATGCCGAGGGAACAGGATTTAAGTCATTGTTGCCGACGAATGAGGTGTTGGATGCTGTGACTTTCAGAGGTTAGACAGTAGGACAGCCCAGGAAGCCGGATGGACACCCATCAAGGGGATGGGGTGGGGGTGGGGTGGGAGGGGACATGGGAAGCAAAATGTCTCAGATTGGTAAAAATTAGGCCCAGGGTGAGGGGATATTTCCTTCTGGTACAGCTGGACATCCCTGCATACGGTTCATGGGCAGGAACTTCACTTCTTTGTCTACAACCCATCCCCCTCCTGTAGGAAGGCACCGGTGTTTCATGGCTGCTGGGACTCTGGGAGTTTCCATGGAATGAGAGTGGGGGGTGAGTGGGCAAGGGCAGGCAAGAGAAAATAGGCTCAACAGGAGATTTACCTGTTCTCAGCCCCTCGAAGGGGGTTTGCAGATTCCCAAACAACTTGGTTGCCATCCGGGGTCCCCTGAGGGGTCTGAGTATCTTAAAGGCTGCAAAACAGGTTAATAGTGGAGTAAAAGGAAATAATATCTCCTGTTCAAAAAGCATTAGATAGCTGGCTACAAAATAAAATAATAACCCTACAAAATAAAATAATAATAGGACAATGTTGTCAATAAATCCTTAAGCTACCACCGGGCCACAGGGACTACTGGCAAAGCTAAAGCTTGATGTGTCCACCCGGGCTGGCATCTCTGCTGGACGCAAGCGACATGGGCCCAGCGACCAACAGAACGTGGGCACTTCTCTAAGCACCTGTCGATGAGTTCTGCTGAATTAGACAAAATAGAGCCTCATGTCCATACCTGGAAAATCATGGATCATGGAAACAATCTTTATGGTCAAGACAAGCTCACCTTCTATGTAAAAGAAGTTGGTGCCCTGAATCTCCCTGAATCTGAACTGTGTAATAAACCACCAGCACAGATGGAAGACTTTAAAAGAGACAGTTATAATCATCGAGTTTTAAAAGAAAATATTCTTCTTATTTTCCTGCCACTGGAGATAAGGGAGGCTCATCCCAGAAGAAGATAGGATTCAGCAATTCCACAAAATTTTGGTACCATGTTTATATACAGAGTGATTTTTACTAATTTTTATCACAAACATCTCATTTCCCAAGGATATGATTAAAATATGCTTGGTTTATTACTGTTGTGATTTGTATTATATCTTAGGAACAAAGCCTTTTTATATGAGAATTCATTCTGATGTCTGATGATAGAAGGTGATGGGAAAATGTGATTCGGTTTACAGAAACCACAGTCCTGAAATATGGGATTCCCAGCTGAGGGCCATTGGTTCTGGGGAGGAAGGCTGGGGACAGGGACACAGCTGAGCATCACCTGTGGCATGCCTACTGGCAATGACACATGGAGCCCTGCATGCCTGCCTCCCTCACCCCTTGCTCTGCTCATCTTCAGCCACCCCACAACTCTGTGTTCCTGGACTTCAGTTATAATGAGCATCAAGGGAAGGCCAAGTTGGAAAAAAGATGTTAGGATAGGCAGGAAAGCCAGTTCATCTCACTGATGCTGGGAGTCCCACATGTAGGGAAGTGGCCTTGGAGAGTTTTTAGCTCCAGGCAACAGAACTACTCAGCACCATCCCTGTTCCAGGAAAGAGAAAAAGTGCCAACGTAGAGGTCATCGATGCCTCCGAAGATGGTGCATCAGAGTTTCAGGAGCTCAAGGTGCGTGGCTGGCCTGCAACAGTCAGGGGGTGGGAAAAGGAGAACTTGTTCATTCAGCTTCTCCTCCCTAGTAGGACATGGGCCAAGTGGGGAAAGAAGAGTGAAAACCCAACCAACAGAAGAGCAGAGCTCTGGGTCTAGAAGGGGAGACAGATGTGACCCACTACTCTCTGACATCCAGGAGGGGTCCCGTAGCTCTGGGCTGGTCAGGAGGGTCATGAGGGCTTGCTTGAGGAAGGGAAGTCAAAGCCCTTGCCTTGTCCAACCCCAGGGTACACTATTCACATGGGAAAGCCACGTGACTGGTGTCTCTTGACCGCTGAGGACTGTCCTGCTAGCTGAGGCGACAGTGGCTGGTACCTAGTCAAAGAGAAGAAGGGAGATGCCTGGCAATCCCCCCAAGTGGGAGGCAGTATCAGGGGACACCTTGCAGGCTGTGTGAACTGTATTGTGTTAACCAAGCAGAGGGGCCTTCTGCTACCCGAGAATTACATCCACCTGCTCTCTGGCTTCAAGACACCATGGTCTGTCTTCTCTGGGGGCTTGCAGGTGCCAGCATGAGAGAAAGCCCGCTGGATTGCTTTTGGATTCCAACCCCAGGTCTTTGCTTGGTCTCTTTGACCAGCAAGGACGTATTCCTGGCTGAGTTTCTGGTTTCTCATCCAGATATTTGCCTTTCATCATTCTTTCTCTCAGTATCTTATGAGGGCTGGATGAATGACTGTAATGTAGGGCTAGTGAATGAGAGTCAGTCTGGCCCCTGCTATGCTATCCACCCTGAGATCATCTGAGTGTGAAGCGGCCCTGGCTTTGGGAATGTGCTCAAAGTTTCAGTGCCCAGGCCAGGACCTTTAGGGTCTTGTCAGCCATTTTAGTCTGTGTCTGCACAGCAAGTGGAAAGCCATTGAATGGTCTTAATGAGGAGGGAGCTATGATATGAAGAGTCACATCACATATCATATCACACTTACTGGTTAGGGTAAAACCCAGCGTCACATAGGGTGTAATTTTGATCTTGCTGGCAAAGCTCAGATCTAAGTGACCACAACACCAGGAGATACCTATCTCCTCCACCCTCAGCCTTCAGCCGGGCGCTGTGTCGGGGTGTATCCTGGCCATCTATATAGAATTCAAAAGAAAGCTAAAAGATCTTGTTAATCAAAGGAGACAGGTTTTTTAAAAATGTAATGTTATGTGGGAACATCTCCCGGGAGCCCCCTTGGGCTGGGCCTTTTGGCTGGAGAGACTGACGACAGCTCATGATCTTGACAGGGTGGGAGAGGGGTTATCTAGGCCTGGGAAGTGAGGCCCAGCCACCAAGGGGAAGAAGCTTTCACAGAGCTCCTGGGACTTCTTGCCCTCCTTGGGCCAACCAAGGACTGGATCCCTTGTGCAATCTGGGGGTGTGTTCCGCCCCCTTTGTGCAGAACTCCGGAGGGAGGGGTCCTGCAGAGTGGAGCACTTCCCAGAGCCTGCGATCAATCAATCCTTTCCCTTTGGCTTTACTGTGCTGGGCACCAGTCTGAGTTTCATCTCTTTACTACGAAACCAGCCCTTTAAATAATGCTTTCCCCACTTTTTTTGGCAGAGGGTGGGGGTACATCATAAAAATAAAGCCTCTTGTTTGTGAAGAGCTGGCTGTGGGTGTCTGCTTTCAGCTTCTGCCCTCTGGGGCACTTCATGGGCCTTGTTTACTCTCTGATCCCTGGAGCAGGGCTGGCTGAAACCCTGCCCCCCAGGCGGCTGGTGTTTCTCCCCCAAACAGAAGCTCCTCATAGTAACCGTTGTCGAGTAGATTCCTTTTTACCAAAAAGAGGGCATCCCACTTCATTCTCAGTAGTGTTCCTGTCCGTCAACGTAACCACGGTGCTGTCAGCAGACAGCACCTCACACCACTTGGCAGTCACCAAAGGCCTCGTGCAGGGCCCTCCGCACAACCAACACTGGCTCCTGCTAAATAACAAATGTGAAATAAATAAACGAAGAACTTTTCAAATGACTAATACATGACCACTTCCACTTAGCTGTTCTGTTGTTTTCTACGTTATGAAAATTTTCAAACAAATACAAGAGTAGAGAGAATAGTACACGAAACCCAGTGCGGAGCCTGACCCAAGGCTCGATCCCATGATCCCGAGATCATGACCTGAGCTAAAATCATTGGGTCCGATGCTTAACTAACTGAGCCACCCAGGCGCCCCCAACAGGATTTTTAAAAAAGGAAATCATGTCATCTTAAAATATTTCATTGTGTTATCTTTAAAAGGTAAAGAATCAAAAAAGAGTCATGCCATTATTACACCTAAAAATTGTACACTTCCTTAAAGTCATCAAATATCTCATCAGTGTTCAGCTTACCCCAATTTTCTCTATTTTATTGTTACCTCTTCATTTTGTTTAAAGAGGTAAAATGAGATTTGCTTTTTGCTAAATGCATCCTACGTTTCTAGTTACATTACACTGTGTTCTGGGAGGCAGACAACTGGCAAATTGTTCATAGTAGCAGATTCATATTTGTTAAATCTCACTTTCCAAACAAAACTGTTTTTCAAGATTTTCCACTTTATATCTCCTCCTCTGTCACTTCCCTGAAACTCCAAGACTTCCCTGGAAGGAGAAACTTATTTCTTCTCATTTTTGCACATAATTAGAGATTTTTCTCAACACAGCCTAGGAAAAATATATACATGTAAAACCCAAGAGATCTTTAAGTGAACATTTAGTTGACAATTATGTGTTGCTGAATATTTTCAAGAGTATCTGAAAACTCTGGCAACCTTTAGCAGTTTTGACTTGGTAGGCAAAACTTTTTAGAAAAAAAAAGGGTTCTTCCTTTCAAAAACCATAAAAAACTCCTTGGAACATTTCGGAAGTGGAAGCCAAGTCTCCTCTTTAAGAAATAATGGGCAAAACCTCTTGCTGAACATTAAAATACTACCTGGTACAATTTAACTTGCAGAGGTTATTGATTGTGGACCTCTCACCAATGAGTTCCCCATTCTCCTCAAGTTATAAAAGAATATACTTTCTGGACATGCCTACAACTCTTCCTTTGAAGGTGTGTAAGTCTAAGTGTGTGTGTGCCTGTGTGCTCACGTATACCCTCTTATAGAATGTGATTTATGGATTTCTTGCCCATTTACTACTAGTAAATCATCAAGAGTTTTATGTCCCAGGCAGTCAGCAGTTGGTTATAAAATCAACGGAG